TTGCAAACATGTTCTATTAAAAGAAGCTTTTTGTAGGAAAGAATTCAGCTTCAAACATGTTTTCTTCTCCAGTTAAAAAAACCCCAACTTTTAGCTAGAAATTAGATACTCTAAGTTTTTGACGTTCTCAGACTTTGTCCTCCTCCTTATTTAATGCCAAGTCAGGTTACAGAGGGGAAAACATGGTATTGCTTGCTTCTTTTGTATATATAACAGGGTTGTTTTTGTTCTTAGGGAGGGAAGAGCTCAAGTAGAGATGCATTCTCTATTTTACTATTTATATCGCATTAATTAAGTACCTTCATGGGCAACAGCAAAATTGGTATTGGAATCAGCTTCAAGATAATGTTCACTGTTCTGCAGTTGTCATTACAGCAGCATAAGAAGACTTAAGATCCAGAGAGGTGTCTCCAAGAGACCTATTTTAATAACTTTTTGTCAACTTGGGTAGCTTGGTTCTGTCAGGTCAAAATTTCACGTGTAAACTTTATTCGTCTTTATTCCTCTCAAGTTGTGGGGGAGGATTGTTTAATTAAAAGAAGAGATGATGGATATGTCAAGCAAGTATTACGGACAAAGGACACAGACATAAAAATGCACCTACATTCCAGATTATTTTTTGTTACATTTTCTTTAAATGGTCTATGTGTCAAGACATCTGTCTCTCTTCTTTAATTTTTCCCCTCTCTGCCCCCAACACGCTTTTTTTGTCCTCTGCTATCACAGGAATCTTTACATTTATCTTTAACATATATAGGTATTTTTAACAGCTTCATACTAAACATGTTTTTTGGATAATATTTATTACCAGATGTAGGGTTCTGACCCTTGCAAAGTTAGGGCTAATGTTAGTAATGACAAGGCAATGGGCACCTTCAGCTACAGTAGGCAGATGTGGAGGAGGAGAAATTTGAGAATAAAGAAATTGGAACAAAAAAATGCTCGAGAAATATATGAGCCGCTGACAAAATGGGGGGTTACAAAGCACTTCATCTCAGGTCATTGGTTTTAAATTAATGTCTAGTCAGGTGTGGCCAAATATCTGAGAAATATCTGCCATCATTGTCATTTGTAGACTGGCTTTTTGGTCAAACTCCTTGGTGTGCTACTCTTGGTTTTGTCTGATTCACAAAAAGACGGTCTCTGCCTCACTACAAGGGAAGGGTAAGATGTCAGGGAAGAGAGTTGTATTTACTGTAGTTATCTGCAAACTCACGAGCAGCAATAAACCTCTTTTTTCATTGCATTCTCTACCATACTTTCTAAATACTAGTCTGTTGTACTTACACTTAAAATACTAAGTGAATCTGGGACTGACAAACAGTTTTATCCAAAAGATACAAATACTGGCTTGTTCTCTAAGGCCATAATGGACAGTGGTATTGGCTTAAAGGAAGGTTAAGGATGTGTTTACTACTTTTTCCATCTGAGAGACAGAATATTTAAAAACTGTAAATTGACTATGCTGTAAGAAACGCTTGTGCTGCTGTGAGTCAGGTGTTGACCTTTCCCATCTTAAAATCATGAAGCGTTTATCTTGCATCAAGAAAGCAACTGATTCTCTCTTCCAGAGAAGCTGACATTCTAACTATATTATCTTTGATATATATGTACTCTGGTTATTGACCACATGAGAAAGTCAGGTGTTGTATTTAAAGGGCAGGATAGTATAATGTAAAAGCAGGAGTACCGAGGTCTTTCGTCTTCTGACCTACAAAATTACCATGTGTGCCCACAAGAACTCTGAGCTGTATTGTTCCTGTTGGGTATTAAATCTCTTTATAGTCTCAAGATAAGCTAGAAAGAATAGAAAATTCAGTCATGGGCAGCCAGCTCTCAGGATGTTTAAATTAGATGAAGAACTCTTAGCGCATCAAATCATTTAAGGCCTGTAACTGATATCTGACCTACTCTAATCTTCAAGGTTTAAATAATAAGTTTGGTATTAAAACCAACCAAATCAATCTCTTACTGCAAATAAGACTACTCTTTAGTCTTACAGGAGGTTTAACTGCTGTATGGCCTCCCTCTCAAATTTGGCAGAGGGGGAGTAATGCTTAGCCAGAGGAACGTTATCTCCTCATCCGGAGTTCGCCAGCTTTTCTCCTCGACTCGCACAGGTGACGTCTGCGTGAAGGCACAGTGCCTGTCAAAGCGAAAGGAAACACTCCCAGCCGTACCGCCGTCAGGCTGCGAAGCAGCCGAGATCTGCGGCGTGACACTGCTCCCGTAGAAGCCACAGCTGTAACCCATAAAATAGGCAGTTTTAAGGGAACCGAAGCAAACTTTGCCAGAGCTTTCCTAAGTCTCTAACTCAGCTCTGGCTCTGTCAGTATTCTCATGGGTATTTGCCAAGTCCCCAGAGTGTCTGAGTTTGCTGTGTGGCAACTGGAAGATGTGTCTGCAGTATCTGTACGGATACATACACAAATCGGGCTGACGCGCATACGTTACTTATTTTGCACATGCTAAGCACAGTGAGACTCCATCGCCTGCAGCAACTCAAACAGCAGTTGCCTTCCTGTGATGTGAAGCTGACGGGCTGTGTTCGTGTTGTAGACAGAAATATGGATGAGTTGGCGTAAGCTTTACTTTTAACGAAAAAGAGTTTGCTAACTCCCATCGTAATCTACCTAGGATATGGTGTGTTTAACTGATCTTGCTTTGATAATACTGTAAGCTGGTCTTTGATAATTGCTTTCTGTAATTGGAACAAATTTATGGTTATGCTAATTCGTCTGCTGCCACCCAATATGCAGTAGCTGAGTTAATCCATATCTGCCCCTGCATTTCTTTTGTGGATCATTATGTGATTAAGCTTTGTCAGAAATTGATGGGGGTATTTTAACTCTGAGCAGATTTAATTTCAGGGGAAAAAAGTCAGACATCTTTATATAAACTTACGCCATATTATAGCAGTTTTTAAGTCTAGTTTAAGATAGAAGCATTTAAGATCTTCAGGCTAATTCTTAAAAAGAAATGTATTTCATTGCATTACAAGCGATTGTGTGTCCTCCACTGATGATGAGTGCTAACGAGTCTGCTCTTCAGGCGTTGCAGGTTGGCCGTTCAGAACGCCGTGCCTCACTTCCGTAAGGAGGCATTGTAGGTTTCTTCGTTGCATTTATTTTGCTTGGTAGTTCTCTGTGTGTGTATTTTTGTGGGTGCTGCATTTTTCCAAAGGTTGCATCACTGCAAGTAGCAACAACCTTTTGTCATCATGACTTCTTTAAATTTATCAGTTTATCCTATAAATTCATCCCTTAGTTCTCCATCTTTGAAAACATTTGTCTGCTGAGGCAAAGGCAGTGAATGAATTTGAGAAAGTCTGTTTTTTCTTCAAGGGAGGGAGAGGCTGGAATTAGAGATGAGTATCGCACAGTGTCATCAAGCCTCCAGATAAGAAGCAAAAGGCAATGCGTGCCCTCACTTACAAATCGTCTTTTGATTGTACGTTTCCCAACACTCTCATGTTTATGTTCCATCTGTTTAATGTTCTCCCGTGGTCATAATTCTTTTAAGTGTTTTGAATTAATTTAAAGGTTTTTGATTCACCAAGCCTTGCGGTTCTAGACTCAGTAAGCAGTGGATTGGTGTGCACTCCCTACAGGAAAAATAGTCCGAGTGCTCGAGCGACAGCGATGAGGCCCTTGAGCCCCCCAGTGCCCCCTCCCCCCCCGCCCCACAAAAGCCCCTGACCTGGTGAGAGTCAAAACGCAAAATTTATAAATATACTTGTGAAATAATGAACTCCAGTAATAGTCATGATTGTCATTTCTTTGAACATTACTGTGTTTGTCATTACACTGCACATAAAGTGAGCTTAATTCTGATTGCGACCATTGTATTTCTGTCACTCGATTTATGCCAGTGCTGCTGGTCCACCATTTAAATTGCCTTCCTAGTTTCTTTGCTGAAACCCCTTCTGATAGTTAGTATTAAAGTTAACTACAGAAGGGAAACCGAATAGTAAATGGATTACTTGATTGTTCCTTGTCTTACTCAGACCAAAGGAAAATGGAATACAAAGAGATATTACTAGGGGAAGAGTTCAGCGTTACTGGATTCCAGTGCTGCTGGTCCACCATTTAAATTGCCTTCCTAGTTTCTTTGCTGAAACCCCTTCTGATAGTTAGTATTAAAGTTAACTACAGAAGGGAAACCGAATAGTAAATGGATTACTTGATTGTTCCTTGTCTTACTCAGACCAAAGGAAAATGGAATACAAAGAGATATTACTAGGGGAAGAGTTCAGCGTTACTGGATTTGGTAAGGCGGTTTGGTTACGGCTGCAGAGCTGTGCCTGGCCGTCTGTGGTCGGTACCGTGAAGTCTCAGCCCTGTCTCTTAGCCCGGGGAGTGAACGGCAACGAGGATGAGTGCTAGCCGTGTGATTTCCTGGGATGCTTCTAGCGATGGAAATGGGGATGCCTAAGCTACTGGGTGTGTTAAGTTCATGCCAGAGCAGGATAGCATCTCCCAAGAATACTAAGGAAAGCAAATTCAGGTAGTGAGATTTTTTGTGAAAAGTCACCTCTGGGTTTACCTAAAGTGTGCCTGTGCCAGGCACTGCTGCCTGTGATCTCATGGGGCGTACCTTGGAGACGCACCCTCTTGAAACTTCACTCTGCGTGTTTATTCCCATGTGCGCTGCAGCATACAAAATCACGTGGTCCCAAACCTCTTCAAACTTCTGTGAAGGATATTGTTTAAAAAAAAAAAGTTAAGATTTGAGAGGAAAAGCGACACAAAACAGCATTGTGGCAGAGCTTTATAAGAATGCAGACATAGACTGATACGTCTTGAATGCGTAAAGTAAGCTTTGACGGTGACATTCTGTCTTTGTTATCATTTTTGGTTAACTGCAGTTTGAGGAAGAGTATATAGAGCTAAAAGCTTTTAACAACTTTTGGTATGAAATGTGAAATGTGTTTCGTACTCAGGTAATGCCCATTTTGACAGATGTGTAAAATAATCACTTTATTTAGTTCCATAGTCACGATGCAGGGGAACAGTGCCACAGGCCCAGGTTCTTTTCAAGGTGAGTTCCCAGCTGACTGCAGCGGTGCAGAGACACGAGAAGCTACGGATGTGCCAGCCACACACCTCCGGTCCCCAGCTAACCAAAATGACTGATGCTACTGGAAGGGGAACCTGCTGTCTGGCATGAAATCTAATTGGCTTTGATGGTCGGCTTTTGCAGATTTGTTTATAAACTGGAAAATCTACAAATTGCAGACCATCTGCGCAGAACAGTGTGCTAATGAATGCCTGTAGCTAGCAAATCCATAAGCTCATTACCACAAAGTTCCAGGTCCTTCCACAAGTTCCTACAAGAGGTTATTCATCTGAAGAGAGACGAGAAGGGTGTTTGACTTCAGGGTACAGCCATACCTCCTTCAGGTCTGGAAAAGCCATTAAAATAACTCGCATTTATTCAGTATTTTAATAGAATCTGTTGATTCTGCTTCTATTTTTAGTTTTTCAGTTCTGTAACAGCAGCTTGCCATGCCTTAATTATTTTTTATAATGTCTCAAGAAAAGAAATGCCTTGCAGACAGTTCCTGGGTCTACTCAAGAGATATGCTGGTTGGTGAACTAGAAAAGATGTATTGAAATATATTATACACAGCATTTCATAGTGTTTATGTACCTTGACAACAAATACTAATGGCCTCTAGTTTAAGAATGTTTGTATAAATTGGGAATCTGTTATAATGACTTAGCTCTTCCACTGTGTGCGATGTCAAGTGATTTCATCCTTCTGTTTCTCTCTCAAAAAAATTGAATTAATAATACTTACTATGTTGTCATCCCAATGTATTACGAACGTTAACTAATCATTGTCCAATTATTTGAACAAGTTAAGCGCTGTACATCAAGAGTAGTACTTTTAAATATTTCTTATTCTCTCTCGGTTGAGATTTTCTTCCGTTTTCTTTGAATAAAAATCAGCCTTCCTAAGTTACTAGCCCATACCTCCTTCCTCTGAATTTTGGGGGTGAGGGAGAAGTGGCAATCATTAGCTGACTTTCACTTGGCCTGCTGATCTCCACTGGTCCTGTCTGTCTTTCTGCTTCTTGAGTCAAAGGAAGTATTTCCCTGTCAGATTAATGAGGTTGTTAGCCCGAGGCATCAAGTGCCTTTGTTTGGCTTTACAGGTTTACAGACTTTTCCCCTGTTTTTTTGTTCTCTTGGGGAAGCCAAAAGGGCTCTCCTAAATAGGACAATAATTGAATAAATTAATAGTTACAATGGAAACAAAATACACAGTATAGACTCAAGAACAAATATAGAGGAAATAATAACATGCATTTATTTAAGAAAATGACTTCAGGTTCAAGCTTTAAAACTTACAGTGAAGAAAAACAGGAGGTAAATTAAATATATTCAACTAGAATGATCCATTTTTTTTTTATCATCACTTCTTGATTCCTTGGATTAAATATTAAAGCCTTGGAACTACATAATGCCACAAGAAGTGTGATTAATTGTTTTCCTTTTTTTTCCCCTATCCTTCTCTTCCTCATCATTCCTTCCTTTCTCCCAGCAGAACAAAAATGTTTGTTATAATCCCCACCCTTGCAACTCTGAACAAGCTCTTTGCCATTTTCTTTTCGTTGTTTTATTATTTGTTATTTTATTTTGTCCTAGCATTTAATTTGCTATGCCTTTGTAAAAAAGCAATTAGGGTCTTCAGAATAGAAACAGTTTCTTTTCTGAATTTGTGAATGTCTACCTTTTTGGGAATCCTATCCCAGCTTCATTTTTATCTTAATGTTTTTAATAAAGTTCACAATTACATTTATTAATGAAATAACTGAAATATAATTTTGCAGATTTCCTGCTTCCATTTTTTATTTTCCTACTTCACGTTCTTCTTTCTATCCCTCTCCAGGTGGAATGGCTAAAGAATGAGGAACCCATAGATTCCAACACGGATGAGAACATTGACACCAGAGCAGACCACAACCTCATCATTCGACAGGCGCGTCTGTCTGACTCTGGGAACTACACCTGCATGGCTGCCAACATTGTTGCCAGGAGGAGGAGCATGTCTGCGACAGTTGTGGTGTATGGTCAGTGAAAACGTGATAATTATGGAAAAACTTAGATATGTGTGCTTTTATTGCTGGAGTACTTTATATTTTTAACATACAACTGGTTCTAAATCAAATGACTAACCTCCTTCCTGTTACGATGAATTTCTGTTTCTGCTGCTCAGGGCTGAGATCATGCCTGCTTTGAGAGGGCTTAGAATTATGAGGTTCTTGTTTGTGATGGATTCCCAGTGGTTATGTCAATAATAACAATCCTTGCTCCAGATATTAAGAAGATCCAATTATAAGCTAAACCACATAAATAAGCCTTGCCTGCTACCAGGAAACCCTAAAGCACGTGCCTGGGGAGGTACATAAAGGGCTGCCTTAATTGGAACTGTGGTACTGCAGTGCCCAAGGACTTAACTAGTGGATCTAGATGTTACACAGCAAAGGACAAAAGAGGAGAACCACTGCTTTATTACCATCCTCTGTTGCTCTCCATGTTTATTACTGCATGTGACATTTTATTGTGGAGGCAGAGCATTCCTAAATCACCCTTTTTAAAATGAAGAAGTCTTGTTTATGATTTAAGCAAAGCATACTTCATTGGAATTGAGGTGCTTGCTTTTACCTCGCTCCCAGACTCTATCAGTCATTGCACTTCTTAGCATATTACTCTTCCAAAACCAACATTTGTGTTCTTTGACACCGTGGCCTTAGTGTAGTTGTGTACTGATAAGTAGCTGTGCTCCTACTTCAGCTTGGAATTCACCTGCAGAATGTAAAAACAAAATTCTGCCTTCGAATGAAATGATCTGATGAGATTTGTTGCTTGATGTCTCTTAGCACACCTACCGCAACCTTGAGCATCTTTGTGTTTTGCAGTTAACGGAGGCTGGTCATCATGGACTGAGTGGTCGAACTGCAACGCACGGTGTGGTCGGGGCTGGCAGAAGCGATCACGGACCTGTACCAACCCTGCGCCACTCAACGGAGGTGCATTTTGTGAAGGAATGTCAGTGCAGAAGATTACCTGCACTTCTCTTTGCCCTGGTGAGATATGCACAGTCTACTAAGGAATAACTTTAAACGTCACACTTACAGGCGAGCTCTTTCAGTCTAAAATGCTAGGTACACAATTGAACTTTGAAGAGCCTAGTGAGCTCAAAAAGGAAATTGGAAATACTTGCATCCTTGTTTAGACCACAGCTCAGAGCCTCCTGTAGGCTCTTAGCGGTAGTCACAAGCACCTGTGGCCTTCATCTGACAGGTCTGTCATTGCTTTAACTTACGCTGAAGCTAACTAAGCTGAGAACTTCACTTAAAAGTACTACTCGGCTTGCAAAAGTTTGCTTTCAGGTATATTAGCCTTTTGAAATTGAGCTTATGCTATACATGGTGCTACATACGGTGTTACATCCCTGGACACTGTACATTTCCTCATTTGTTCACCTGAAACCTCCCTTACATGATTTTGGAATTGGTGTTTCACATATACAGCTAAAGAAAGTTAGTAGGACTGTATGCATGTATGTTTTAAGAAACTATGTTTGCCTGGAATCACAGCATAACTTGTCTGAATTCTGGCAAATGTCTCTTCTAGCTTTTATGAGTTTTTAGATACAACATGTCCTGAACTGGGATTTAAAGAACTTATTCATCTATATCTCTGTTCATCTGACTGTTCTTCAGTCTGATTTATGCAGGAATGGGAAACGAACTGTGGAAACCCTTCTAATTTGGGACAGGGTCAGGGACAGCTATGAATCAGTCAGCCAAACAACGTACTGATCCATTGTCTTGCTCAGGACATTAGCCAGAAGTATAGGCTATGTCCAGGCCAGCTATGCTCTTTTTTGTAAGTGTCAGCATCATTTCTCTGTTAGGAAAATGTGTGGCTTCCCTACATCAGCCTGTTGTAAGGTAGAATTGGTACTGAAACATTAGAAGCTAATAGCTAGGTGGCAAAGGAAGTATTTCCTCCTGCAGTTTTAATTGACTATATTTGCAGAAAATTGTATACTGGTGCTATTTTAAAAGCTTCCACGTTGCACGCTTGAGGTAGTACATTCTCATGCTGGATTCTAACTTCACATATGATAAAACTATATTTATTTCTCCCGAGAATTATGCTTTGTCTACTTGCTGTGACCTGAGGAGAGATACAAAACAAGTATTCTTGGTAGGACCTCTTAACTACACCAGCTTGATAGGTAGTGATGATGCTTGTTTTTTCCTCCTCCCCATTCAGTGGATGGAAACTGGGAGGTGTGGAGCGAGTGGTCTGTCTGCAGTCCAGAATGTGAGCATTTGAGAGTTCGGGAGTGTGTTGCGCCACCTCCAAGAAACGGAGGAAAGTACTGTGAGGGCTTGAGTCAAGAGTCGGAGAACTGCACTGAAGGGCTTTGCATTCAAGGTGAGTAACAGTGGGCACTGAATTGGATTTAGGAGGTATGGCCTAAAACATATGCTGTAATCCAGGTAACATAGCATGTCTGCCACACAGCCATGTCAGTAGAACTCTTCTGGCTGAAATGTTACTGTGAAAAAATAGATTGTTTTCAGAGGGTTGCATATGTGGAGTTTGAAATCCACAGTGGTTTCCAAGTCACTGGATTTGTGTAGCACATACTTTACCTATTATCAGATGATTCTAAAAATACAAATAAAGATTTTTTCAATGTGTAATTACGACCACCTGCTGCAACACATTTTACAGAATGTACTACTTAGCGTCCTACCTTTTCTTGCAAGCAAACTGGCAAAGCACCAACATGAATACTCTTGATGCAAGAGCTGTTTAGGGTCAAAGTTTACTCCATTTGTTGCCTTTAACACTGAAGTTAAATAAAGGCAAATCTACTCTATGATGGGTTCCCTGTGAAAGGATTTGCCCTTCATAAATGTCTGGAAAGCATCTGGCATTTGGTAGTTGCCACTATCAACAAACAACTGGAAGCCAAGAAAATGAGCCCTGCAGTTGCAGAGTTGCAGAACACCCGGGGACAGCTGCGTAGTTTCAAAACAAAGAAATTCAGAAGTTTATTCCTACACTGAATGCCACCCCCTATCTATAAGATGATACTGTCACCTCATCACTTTCTAGCAATGAAATGGCAGCCACGGGAGCAATCAGGAATGCTAGAGCTGAAAGATGTAAACTGAAATAAGTCTACTTTTTCTTTAATTTTATATTTAAATAGTCTCTTTCTTTGTTTCTGTGGTATTGTATTACCCTTCCTCCTTGATGTTTGGCATATATGTGTTCACGTTATGCTTAGCAGTCATCTCCTCCTTCTTCCATGATCCACACAACAGAAGGAATATGGCTACAAGTCCCCCTTGTGCACTTAACCATCACATATGCGTTTCCAATAGTATGAGTGCCTGTGGCCTTCCCCCATGTCCGCCTTCCTAATACTGGGAGGCAGTGTCCGAGGGCAAGAAACAGCCACTGTGCCCAGCCAGTTTGTCAGTGAAGTTCATCTGGTGAGATGAGGAAAGTAATGTTGTAAACAGAAGGAACTTCCGTTTTTGCCCTGAGATTTTAATAACTTCTTAATGGCAGATAGCATCCTATGTATTATTTATTCAGGCTTCAGAAATACGAATACCTCAGCTGAGACATTAAATAAGATTTTGTTTGGTTTTGGAGGGAGCGAATACCTAGCATCTTGCTGTATGTCTCTACTTAAAGTTTCCAGGGTTACAGAACAGCTCTCCAGCTCCATGGTGTCAGGCAGACAAGCGTCAGGGTTTAAAAGGACTAAAAGGTCTAAATCAAATTTAGACTTTTCTCCTTCCCCATGTTTTAAAAAAGAGTAACTAGTGAGAGTTTGTGAGCACTGCAATTAATTCAGCTTTTGAGGACCACTGTGGTGATGACATGATGTTTTCTGAGGTCTTTCTTCTTCCTATACATTAAATGAATGCCCTTCCCTACAGATGGCTTGATAAATCCAGAACCCATTCAGGTGTGCAGATGAGCATACAATGGAAGACTGTCAGAAGGATGCACTGAAAGGGGCATGAAAAGATGCAGCTGAGGTCTGCATACTTATCATTGTTTGTGACAATCATGAGTTGACTTGCCATCTAGTTGGCTCCTTCTGTGTTTTCTGCCAGCTAATAGAAGGTGGCCCCGTTCAGGTCACTGCTTCCAAGAGGAGCCTTAACAACGCTGCAGGGTGGTAAAGATTACCGGTCCTACCTTGAGAATAATATTCTTTCATATTGTGTAGTTAGGTGTCAGTCCTGTGTATCATCTTCCACGCTGCACTTAGGCTTTAGAGGTAGAGGAACAAATACGATATTATGCTTATTTTGGTAGTCTGAAAGGAGCACGTGGCCTGGGGAAGAGCTATGGTTATTAGGCAGTGAGAGTCATGATACACATTTTACAGGACGGTGATGGCTTCATTCCATGGGGGAAGTCACTGAAACTCCTCGAATCCTGGTAGGACAGTTTCAGGTACAGACTGGGCCTCTGAGCACTGTTGTATCAACATGGTATTGCATCACACAGGCTTTTGTCAGTGGCTTCTCCAGCTGTTAATGTCTGCTTTCTTATTTGAAATTACTCTCTTATTCTCTCTGAGGAGTTCATCCAGGCACTGGCTACAGGCAGGTTTTAGAATGTCCGTGTCACGCTCTCTACAGTGGTGAATTATCACTTCAATATCAGTGCGAGTCCTTCTCAGACGTCACAGGAGTGCGAAAGGTCGGTGCTGTGCTTGCCAGCTGCCTTTTGAGGGCTACCTCTGAGATTTACTGCTGATTCCAGGAGTGCATTTTCAGGAACTATTCCAGGATAAAGGCCTCTGAAGCTTTTTGTATGACCAAAGGTTTCACATACTGGTCAAACGAAATGTGTTACTGCACATAGAGGAAAAGGGACGGGGTGTTTGGAGTTCTGTTCACAGGCGTGTTACCAGTGCAACGGTTGACGATTTTATTTATTTATTTAAGTGTGTCTGTGTTCCCTAGAACAAGACTGGTCTTCATAGTAAGAAATACAAAAGCTGCCTTGTAAAATCCTCAAGGGTGAGGTCTGTACACGTTGGTGCATTCATTCGCTGTTCTGTGCTTTTACTGAAAACATGCTTTGCTAGCGACCGCTTTCTCTTTACCCTTTACCCCCAGTACAGCTTACCCGTGCTGAACTCTGCGAAAGGCATTCGGGGTCGAGAGCTGTATGGCCTGCAGCTTTAGTGAGAAGCTTGTGTGCAAGTTCCTTCAACAGAAAGAGAAAGGGGGTAGGGTGTCAGCCTGCATGAGACAGGGGAGGGCTTGGCTTTTTCCAGCAGATACAAATGTAGTAGTTTTGGCTGAGGTAAATAATGCAGATTGCCTTCTGAAAGGTCCTGCAAAGAAACATCACTAGGAGTTGAAAGCAAAAAACTTCAGGTTGTAAGGAGCCGGTTGCCAATTCACCTTCCTTCTCAGAACACTGAGCTTAAAAAAAAAACACCCCAAAACAAAAACAAAAGAAGACATCCCACAACAGTCATATCGCTGATTAGAGATACACATATAGTACAGCCAGAGTATTTCTTTTTTTGTTGTTAAATGTAATGCCTATGTAAGATGTCATTCTGACAAACCCTGGAGACGTTCTCTGTTTATCCGTCGAATAGGTTACAGTAAAGTGTAGCTTCCCTGCTATTGCTTTACTTCACCTCCTCTGTTAATGCGCCCTATTAAGAGCTCCAATAGCAAGCACTGAAAGAAAGCCCTTACCACTACATTAATTGATAGATGGGCTACTGGAATAGTTACAAAATGGCAACTAACTCAGTTTTAATAATTACCTGGAATTATTATTATGTTGTTGTTGTTATTATCATCATCATCATTGTCTGTCATGTGCTTTGTATAAAATCGAGCTCTTTGGATCAGGTGCTGTCCCTCTGCCTCATGTTTGTACAACCACTGGTGCAAAGAATATTATTGTCGATGAACCACTACCTGAGCTGAGGAATGGCAGTGCAGTAAAAAAGAAAAATGCCCCAGCAAGTTGAAATCAGTTGAACTAGCACAGGATTTCATCATCACTTTTTCAGAAGAATTTTAATTTTTCTTTGTCAGGACATTTAAAATCACTTTGGAGATGCAGTTTTAAGAAAATGTAACTATTTTGCACAACCATGTGCAAACAGAAGTGAAGTAAACAATGCATGTCTGAAAAGAGATGCCTGGAATAGCAAAAGCTTTCTCTTTCGGAAGCAAATCACTCTTCTACACATGGGAATTAAAATGCTCTTAATAGACTTAAAATGTTCTCAATACGCTATGTGTAAATAACTTACTTTCTTTAAAATAAATAAATAGATCATTATGGCTGAAAAGATACAAAAAGCATTTTTAAAATATGAGTAAATTTTGTACAGATTTGATCAAGTTAGTGTCAGCTGTGAAACACAAAGTCTGTAAAATATAACTTTGATGTTGAAAATGAACTATCAAAATAATTTTACAGAGGATAAGAGGCATAAGTAATAAACCCCAAATTTTATGATTGAAATGAAAAGCTGTTTAAAATCTAAGCCTACTAGGGATGCATATATTGACATTAGATCAATACTGTTTAAAATTAACAAAATTAAATTCTCAGCTCATGCTGAATATCGGGGGGGAAATCTGCTGCTGGATTTTCCATGCAGAAATGTCTTTGGGTAAAGTGTTTCTATCCCTTTCATAAGGTGAGATGGGAGTTGGGGAAATTGTGAACCAACAACAATACTCTAAAATTAATTTGAAGACAAATATAACAGAAGATTTCTCTCTGCTGCACACACCAGCAATTTTTGACCTAATATTAGGATCAGAAACTGATCTCCAGGTATTTTGTGGGAGGAACAAAAAAAATCTACTCCAGGGTAATTTGGACTTGAGCAGGTTGTCCGTATTACCCTTCATCTCTAACAGCACTGGAACGGAGGAAGCTAAAAGCCTGGTGCTATAAAGCTGTTACTGTTGGGTAATGAGTGGAGCCGAGACGGCCCTGGCCTACGTGTTCTTTGTGTTTTAAATAAGCTCGTCTCCTCCTTTCGCTGCGACGGGTAGTACCGGGGAGCGCGTGCTGGTTCTGAAAGTTGAATTTCCATACGCACTCCACTGGGCCGAAGTATTGCGTGTCTCTGGTTTCCTTCACCTTGCAGTGCGAGACTGTTACTCCTTTATGGGTCGTGCTCTGTGTATATACTTGTGTCAAATTATTTTTAGGCACGTAATTGCTTTCTCAGCTAACAGGAATTGATGCGGTTACCCTATTTTTTAAAAAGCTTCTTCCCCTGCTCCTCTTCCAATATGTGCCTTTTCTGCTCTGCTTTTCATCCCACGGGGAATTGTGAAGGAAATGCGGTACTGTGCTACAGAAAACTGATCTCTTGGAGGTTATTTATCAGGCACAACTTGCTAACTTTGTTCACAAGGCAAAAATAGAAATGAAACATTTCTTTGGTTAATAAATGAGTACTTAAATGAAAGTAAGCGTGAGAACGTAAGATGCCAGGAAAGTGTAGGCCTGATTCTGAACTGGCAGAAAAAATACAAATCCTTAGTATGAATTTTCAAATTTGGAGTCAATAAATGAAATGGTGATAAAACAGGGTCTACTCTCAGGTTCTTTAGTCAGTCCCTGGGAATAACACAAAGAGGACACCCGTTCCTTCACAAGAACATCCAATCTTCTCTGGATTTTGATTTTCTGGAGGGATCCAGATAGTCTGGTCCTTAACTGAGGAGCCACTGAAAGTGCTTTTTTTTTTTTCCAGGGACTTTCTTCTAGGACTGTATCAGTTAAATAGATAAAAAGTTCTAGGCAGAAGAAAGGTAGAATTATTTTTGGTTTTGATATATATGAAAGATTGCCAGGCCTGCCATGTTGGGAGAAAAACGGAGCTTGACTCAAGCTGAATGCAAAGGTCCCTTTCACTCAGGATAGTCCTAACAAACAACTTACTAATTTCTTGCATATTTGTTCTTTTGTCCCTACCAGTACTGTCAGTAGTATCTTTTTCATGGTGGATTTCTCTCTGTCTTGCAGAGGTGAAAGCTTTTTCCTTGCTTAATAAAAGACAGGGGTTTGTAGAGTTTTTTTGTTTTACTTTTATCTATTTGCTTTAAAGTTATTTTTTTGTAACTTCAAAAACTACTGATCTCTTTTGCTAGTGCCCAAAATAGAAACAAACAAGTAAGACCATAAGCAGATGAACTGCAAACATGTTTTTACTAATGCATCATAAATCACAAATAATTTCTTTTTTTGTTTTTCAACCAGCTGTGATACTGAATATTGCCAAGAGGCTTCTGCATCTAGCAGTCTCACCAGTTCATGGCAAATGCACTTCAGTTCTATTGCAGTTTTCTGTAGATAGCACTATGTCAGCAGCATGAAAATGTTTGTTTCCATTGCAAAGCTCAAGTCTGACACTATTTGTTTGGCGTTTACGTGCATCATCTGCTAACAAAAATAAAAACAACCTCAAGAAGAAAAAAAAACCCCACACGTAGCTTTTTGGCAAAGCCAAAATCCAAGAATCTTTTGAGTGAAGTATTACTGAATCGATTATTTTCACAAATAGGAAAAATAATAGAGGGCACCTCATAATCCATTCGCTTCCGTTATCACATAGCAAAACACTGAGCTGAACACCCTGTACCGTGACGTGGTTTCCATTAGGACGACTAGTTCCCAGTGTGGCTGGTCGGACTGCAGTGACTGTGCTGATAACCGACCTCTAGAGGTAGCCGTACCAGACCCCTCATACAAAAAGAAATCCAAAAGATAAATGGGGGAACAGCTCAGTCAAAGAGAATCTCCTTACAATGCAGAGCACCTACAAAGTGGATATAGTCTTATCTGCTTAAGGATTTATATCCCACATTTTATTGTGCCTACTAGATCAGTCTAATTCTGGTGAACTGCTGGGCTCTGTCGAACTTTATAGAAATCAGTAAATTATACGTTGTGTTCTGCTGATTTCTTCAGAAAACCCTTCAACTAAAGGTATCGGAATAGTTGCTTAAGTCAGGCAGACTGCCCAAGAAACTGAGGGGTGGTAGAGTTGATCCTGAGACTATTTATAGAGCCTGTGGAGGGCAGCCCGGGGACAGGCCCGGCAGCCCCACCCAGAACACGGGTTCCTAAGTGGGTCTCGGGAATCGCGGGCGCGTTCCCTCCGGACTGGGGCGCTGGGACTGGCAAGCCCGGTGGGTTGCTTTGTTGCCACGTGCGCCTATGGAGCCTGCGCTCCTGCAGTACGGGTGCTGCACGAGCCCGAGTCTCCCGTTTTCCAAACATTACTTTCCCAGGTATTGGGTTAGAAAGGATGACTCAAATGCTTATTACGAGGAAGACAGAGAAGCCTCATTTTTGAGAGATGCACTATTATATAAAACCTATTTTATATTATATTTGCATACATGTGGTAGTACGTTGATTCTGTATGTTCTTTATATACACATATAGATGTCATTATCGGTGTATATTTAGATACATAAAGGTGAATATATTGTACATTTTGATATTTTATAAATTACTTTTTTAAATGTCCATCTCTAACCTTTCCATATAGCAAGCATACAAAGAAATAATTCATTCTTAACTGATTTTCTTTGCCAAGTGAACAGCTTCAAAGTGTTGAACTTCCTTATTGCCGAGATGTATGATATTCTGGATAAAAGCATCCAATAAAGCTAACAAACACTTGCATTAACCAAGTGAGAAATTACTGCAAAGAAAGATCCTGAAAGAGATTTAGGGGGTGGGGGGGAAAAGATGAAGGGAAATATATGGACAATATAAAATATTCATACTGTCAGCAAACAAGGAGAAAATGTTTCATTTATAGAGCTAGAGAGAAGCAATACAGGAAATAGATGTGCTCCATGTAAATTTATTAAGTGCAACTTTCTCTCTCTCTCTCTCTCTCAGATAAAAAACCTCTTCATGAAATAAAATCCCAAAGTAAGTTATTTTTTTTTCTCTTGTAAATATGGGTTTTCTCATCTTCTCTGCCATTCTGTTTATTTGTTTAGGAGCTAAATAAAACTGAAGGTTATATGAAAGGCTTTCACATCTACTGAAAGCATCTTCTTTGTGATCATAGGTTTTAGACAGAAAATAGAAAAGTGACTGTTCTTTAGGAATCTGTGCCTGACTGGGAGCCCTTTCTACAGGAACGCTTATCTTGAAATTGATCTCTTGAGGACTTGTAATTAGAAAAAAATAATACAGGAGTTTGGTTTTCTTGGTTCAAACCTGGTTCCACTACTGGCTCTGCCTGATCTTCTTCAGCTCACTTCAGCCTTCATGTATCAACTGGTAGAAGGTATTTACATGCTTTACCCTGTAAAGAGTATATAGATATCATTTATATACTGCTTTGCGGGCCTTCTATGCTGCACTCTTTGTTTCTTAGTCTCTCATTGATTTCAGTGGAATTTTAGTTTAGAGCAGCACATTTGGAGTGAATTGACTAACTGAAAGATTTCATGAAAAAAAATATTTTAAAAAAGGACACAGTTTCATCAAAACCAGAATTTCCATGAAGCCTCTCTGTTTTAAAGTGAAGACATTGCTTTTTTTCTTTAATAAAACATATGCAAAGTTTTGAGGATTTTTTTACTGCTTAATTTTCAACCCAAACTGTCTTTTTATAAACACATTTTTGGCTTAATTCCTTTAAAGGATTTAAAACAAGAATCCACCTGTACTGAGAAGTAATGCATGCAATTGCTTATATCTTCTTTGAAGACAGATTCTTCTATTATATATTACAAAATACGTGGGTTTTAAGCCTGAGTATTCCTCCAGGATACAGGGGCACAGGGTGATCAGGTTATTTGAAATTTTATGGAACTTCGGCCCTAAATCATTAGGAAAACATTTGGAAATCCTAACAAAAGGAACCGTACTTCCTTTGAGCTCGCATGCTGTAGACTGCAATGCCAAACCTTTCTGCAGCAAAATTTCTTGCTGGCTTGAACGAAGCCTGTTTGGTTATCAGATCACAGAGTATTCCCATCTGATAAACCAGAGTTTTAAAGAACTGGTCAAGTTCAAATCCATGTTATCCACAGACAACTTCATAACTGTTTACAAAGGAACGTAACTTAATTGCAGCAAAAATGTGAGGAGCACTGTTATTGTCCCAGATGGCTGCAGCTCCTGGTGAGTGCAGGGTGTTTGGCTTTTCAAAAGCTCTCAGTTTTTAATATGGGGTAGTTATGTATGCATGACAGCCCCCCAGCTTCACCCGTTACACGGTTCTGAACACATAGAAAGCTTGCCTGAGAATATTTCTCCTGTACATTTCCAGTTCTTAAGTATTTCTAACACTATGCAAAATCAAATTTAGGTAGCTCAAAAATGTGCTGTGGTTGCCTTGGCTCCTTAAAGCCTTTTTAATTTTGTCTTGTCTTTGTCTCACTGGCCACGTACAACTGGTCTGTGTCATAACGTAGCTCAGGCAATTGATAACCTTTTTTTGTTTATCTGTGCCGTTCCCATTTAATCAGAGAATCTTGAAAGAACATCAGTCAAATCGCTTTATTAAAAAAGTAACTTTAATAGAATTGATTTTAGCATATAAGATACCTAGGAGAATTAAAGGGTTTCTTTATAGCTGGGGGTTAGAAACATGAAATACAGCTTGTTGCTTATTCAGCGAAACAGGAACTTAGTTTAAGACTGCATGAATCATCATTGATGCAAAATCAAAGTCAATTATGAAGATAATTGAGAAACAACCTGTTCTGCTAAATAACCCCTTACATGATTCTCTGACTTCAATTCCTGTTCTCAAAGACTGGCTGTATGAAGCAATGGACTTCAAGGTGCTGAGGGGCACCCAAAGCGAGAGCGATGGAAAACCCTTTCAAATCTCCCAGCTAACTCTAATGGTAGACGGGGGGTAATGTATGCCCTGCATAGCTCCTGGAAAGCACTTATTGTAAATGAGATAATTTAATCAATTATGTTTCCTAATGTACTAAACCAAATGTTTCATTTTCTGCTCCTGCACATCTTAAATTATCTTCAGGTGCTTTATGAAACTTAATCATAGTTAATAGAAACTTCATTACCATCAAATGTGCTTTCAATAAATGTTGTGTAACAGTGTCAGGAGATGGAGTGAAATATAGGCTACAATTACCACAAATGTGTATCCTGTAACTGAAATGTATAAAAATTGTAGTGCTTTTCCTACCTCCTCCG